TAAAAATAAATAATCGTGCGACGACTCATTTCTTTTAGAATCATAAGAGGTTTCCTTTAAGAGAGATAAACATCAAAAAAAGTCGTTTTTACAATAAATATTCGATATAGTAGAAATGGCTCTTTTCGGGGGTTTTACGGGCTTTTTATACGAGGGTCGTTTGAAAAGTCCGTGCAAAAATAAAAACTGCTTGATTTTTTTTAATAAATCTTTTTTATTTTTCAACATAGTCTCCTTTTAGACTTATACACTTCATCCAACGCTGCTCTAGTTTGTTAATCCCTTCCAAATAATAGGATTTGTCCAAGTCTGTAAAATAGGCATTCTTTTCTGAAATCACCTCCTCGTTTGAATAAAATCTTTTCCCCGCCATCTATTTTTTCATATTAGGAATAAATAATAGTCCGACAGAGCCAAGTCCGGAGAATAGGGGGGATGTGAAACGAGTTGGAACCCTATCTTCATCAGTTTTGTGGCCGCAACTGCTGAGGCATGAGCTGGCGCATTGTCGTGCTGGAAGAGGACTTTTTTGTGGGCCAATCGTGGACGTTTCTCTAGCAACTCGGTTTTCAAACGATCCAATAACGATGAATAATATTCGCCTGTAACGGTTTTACCCTTTTCCAGATAGTCGATGAAAATTATTCCTTGCGAATCCCAAAAGACAGTCGCCATAACCTTCCCGGCCGAAAGAATTGTCTTGGCCTTTTTCGGAGCAGATTCCTCGTTGGTAACCTATTCTTTAGACTATTCTTTGGTCTCAGGAGTGTAGTGATGTATTCATGTTTCATCCACACTGACTAAACGACGCTTAAAGTCTTGCGGATTTCACTGGAACAGCTGCAAACTGTCCTTGTATCACTTCACACGATCTAGTTTTTGGTTAATCGTGAGCAATAGCGGTATCCACCTAGCGGATAGCTTTTTCATGTCCAAATGTTGGTGCAAAATACCTAAAAGTACCGGTTTGTTCAAGATATCTACAGACCTAGCAATCTCACGCACCTTCACTCTTCTGTCAGCCATCACCATATCATGGATTTTATTAATGATTTCTGGAGTGGTGACCTTAACAGCGCATCCAGAACATTCAGAGTCTTTTGTGCTAATATGGTCAGTCCGAAAATTTCGAAAGCACTTATAAACCATTCTAATGCAGGTGCACAATAATAATGATTTTCAAGCTTCTGTTTAATCTCCCGAGGCGTTCTGCCTTTAATAAAGTAATTTTAATTAACACACGACATTCTTTTTCCTCCAATTTTTTATAACCACTCGATTTCTTCGATTCAAATGAATGTTAAATACAAAGTAATAGACCTATCAGGCTGAAATTTGGTGTGTGCTCATCCAAGATATGCTACTAACTGAAAATAACCTCGATACGCACCAGTAGCACGGACTTTTCAAACGACCCTCGTAATAACTAACAAACGAAAATAATCCCACGACTCAAATTGTAGCTTTTGGAAATGTCTACAACTTTTATCTTAAACTTTTACAGATAAAATACATACAGATAAAAAAAATCTGATTAAAAATCTCGAGTTGCATTTTATATAGAGTTTCTATTTGCGTAATCCGAAGCGATTTACGTTGGCTGAATCCATCCCTTAATTTTTGCACGAAATAGGCCATTTTTGTCTGTTGATTGGACTAGATTGTAACTTGAATTGTTTTGGACGATATGCAATGACAGGTAGTCTCTGTTTTTTGCACTTTTCCGTTTTGAGGGAGGTGTAGCGTCGTCGGACATTACCACCCCTCTCCCTGGGCGCCGAAGGTTGGCATAGCCCACTGTCTTTCACTCCTTGGTTTCGCTTTCAAAACTACCTTGGAGATCCGGAAGTCAAGTTTGCTACGACATCCCTGACACTCACAGGGAGTCGAAGCCTTGTTAATCTACTCGTAAGACGGCGACCTTCTCGAGAGGAGTACCGATCCTTTCAAGGTTCAGCGCTTAAGAAGAGCGGAACTGAAGGTTTGACTCTCGGTCTAGGCGGAACAGGACTCTAGTTGTTCGAACGGCATCCGCGTCGGAAGTACGCGGCATACAAATCTTACGAGATTTGCTTAACCACGTACCACTGCCCCGCAGAGGCCAACCCAAATTCGGGACGTCGAAAGAAAGATCCAGCTAGGACAGTCAGAGGAAATTCCCAAGACGATCAACCAGCTAAAGCTCCCTTTCGGGGCTCATTCAAAATCGTCCCACCCTGCGTACCTGTATTTTAAGGGATTGCTCCCACGATTCACAGATCTCTCGCTTCAACGTGCCAGCGCACGTCTTCCCATTGCGTTTCGATCATCTCCGTTCTCGCTGGTGGGTATCCGTCTTTCGAAGATATGCAATGACTATCAATTCACCACATACGTAGACATACGTATATGAATATACATACAAACTGACATTTTTGTGGTACCGCACCGTTTTCTTAATTAGCTAACAGTTAAAAACGTATGTATCCGACTTTCCACTAACATAATAGAATTCCGTTGGTAACCACAAGCCTGACGACTAGTTTTATGAAATTTATTTTAAGCCTGGTAATATCGAATTGAATTCATTTCAAACGAATCATCCTCTACTCCAACATAATTGTAATTTTTAAATGTCAAACTATTGCGAGTTAAAAGTAATTTGCCTTTAAAAAATTGATTACAGAAAGTCCTATACTTTCCTGTATTATTAATAATTAAATTGCGATAAACCTGTATAAAATTGATTTTACAATTCTGTCTAGTTTACTATAAAAGTACTGATGATTGATTTTTCTATTTTCTGTGTTATCAGTACTGTTCGATTTAATCCACAAGTAAATTAAAATAATATCGTGATTAATGAAATAAACAAATTAATTACTCTGATACTAACGAATTTGTACAATTAGTCAGATATTAATAGCTATTTGCCTGATTTTTACCTTTGACGGAAGATATGGGAAAAGGGACAGAGAGAAATTACCTTAACAAACAAGGGTCATGATTCTGGGAGCTACGTATGATCTCGTATACAATGTGGAAATCCATTATTTTTATGTTTTTTTTTTTTTTTTTTTTTTTTTTTTTTTTTTATTAACAATTTAAAGTCACATCCACCAAATTGGTTATTAGTGACTACAGGATTAATAGCATTCTACATAAGAATAGTCGAGATATGTAATTGTTAGCGTTTTACATGATTGTGGTATAATATTTTCATTTGCATTGGTATACATGATTGATTCAAGAGAAATAATTGAAAGAGATAATTAAATAGCAGATCATATACATATAAATTAAGGAAAGAGAAAAATAAAGGCAGTCAGATTGAATGAAAAAACTTAGTTCTTTTCAGAAGTTCTAGTACACTGTAGCACGATTTTTTTTTTGCAAAATAGTTCGAGTATTCAATTGGAAGGTTACAACTTTTTCTTTCTTCAGCTAGATCCGCGCACTCCAATAGTAAATGTTTCACTGATAGCGACACCGCACATTTTTCACACTTATTTGGTTTGTCCTTCGTGATTAGATGGATATGGGTTAAGTTCGTATGTCCGATTTTGAGTCTTGTTAGAATGACTTGCTCTTTGCGTGTGACATCGAGAGTTGGCCTATTGTCGAAGAAATTTTGTACGAATTCATGAATTTTTAAGGCAGGGGCCTTCTTCCACAGCTCGTTCCAATACTCATTTATGGCAGACGACAGTTCTTTCTTTTTCTCTGTATGAGGGTGGGGTTCAATATTCACAGTGTCATTGGACATAGCTGCTGCTTCCTTTGCGGCTTGATTAACTATCTCGTTTTCTTTGATTCCACAATGTGAAGGTATCCATGCTATAACAATGCTGTCAATTTTATTCCTGTGCTTTAAATCTAAAAGTTTGTTATTGATTGATTTTATTGCAGTATTTTTTGAGTTAACTTCCTTCAATGCTGACAGTATACTTTTTGAATCGGAGAAGATGATAAATTTGTTCATATCCATTAGTGCAATTGAGTCGACAGCTTTACTCACAGCGTGAGCTTCAGCTGAAAAAACCGACCATGAGGCGGGCAATTTATACTTTTGAATTTCTCCATTTTTTATGTATTTAGTGTCTGTAGAATCCACCGCTGAATTTTTCCAAATTGCATAAAAATTAGTTAAAGAAGATAAGCTGATGTTAAGCAATACAAATTATAAGCTTTCTTCACTGTAGTGTATAAATTTTTCTAATAAAGTTATTACTATGAACATTTTTTCATCTTGGATGTTCACTTAATCGTAACATCTCAGTTTTGAAAAAAAATTGGTTTATTGCGCTTTTACGTTAAAGCGAACGAAAATCATTTTTGAACGGCTCATTATCTTTCTTTAGTACCAAAAATAAAGTTAAGGATTTTTAAAATAGTTAATTTTACTACACGAAATTTTACAAGTTTTATCCAAAAAACATTTTGAAAAAATTTTATAATGTACAATTTAGGATCGACCATATTTTGTAAAGAAATTTGTGCGGTTCAAAAAAATCGTTTCTTTATAATTGTTTGAACAAATTTCTACCAACTTCTCGAAAAATTTAGTTATGGATTCGAATTTAAGCGATTGAAATACATAAGAATAATAGGTTTTATTTGGGGATTCTTATTGCATATATGATGATATTCAGTCCCGAACTAACAGAAGGAGAGTATTAATTAATAACCTGTCGTTGTCTAAGTATGATGCGAGGTTAATTGTCGCCTCATTGCTTGTAAATCGCTGCTATTGTCATCTGTCGGCGTCTAAAATAGCGCCACTTTACACTTGTGTCGCCCGATATGCTGGCTTAAAGACGGATTAGTCGCATACAAAAGTTAGACAAATAAAATGAATACACGGGCCGTTTTACATTACCGTGCAAACTATATATACGACAGAGTTGATGAGAGGCTAGCGCATTCGCGTATCAGACATGCGTTCGCAAGAAAAAGAGAAAGAGAGAGATTATATTGCGAGCTAACACGTCGCACTATATAGGTCACTACTAAAAACTTACGCTAGTTCACTGAGTTGCGTCGATCAGATACAATTCCGCTAAATCTGGTGTTGTCGAAATAATCGTGCAAAGCCGGCGCTGCGAATAACTACAATTGTCGCTGGAAAATGGTCGTTCCTGCTACCGGTAATTTGGTAAGAATCTGAAGCTCGTTGGCATCCTTACTAAAAAGAAAAATAATCAGAAATGAACCCTCTATTAATCGTGATTGATTATTTGGACATAGAACTTATGGCATATGATTGGCTTACTAATATGACGTAATGATGTCATACGAGAATTTGAAATTATTTATATTCTTTGTTCAATTTAACAATATTCAGTTTGTTCAGCGTGCATAGTGATTACTTGTAATATAAAATATAAAACCAAAGAAGAAAAATGATCTGGAAGAAAGTCCAGAACAACACAATATAAAATCTTGTTTCTTACATATATTTTTATAGACTGCATTATTTAACCCTTATGTGCACAACCAACTTTTCCCACACTAATGCACAACCGGGGTACCCGGGTACCCACCCCCTAGTCCGGGCGCTGGTAACATTTGAGTGTATTTGAGAGATCCCCTCAGTAACTTCAGCTTACTTTATGTTTTTTGGGTCGCTGAATCGTTTTTTCGATGTTACCGAGCCGAATTCTTGCCCAATTTTTATAAACAAATTAAGTTGCAAAATTACGTTTTCTCGCGTTTTGAGCCGGAAAAATTTATTTTATTGTAAATTTGAGGCTGGATTTCGATTCTACAGGAAAAAATACATAAAAAATGTATATAATATTTAATAAATTTGTTTCATTTATTCGGTACAAATATGATAATGTCTAGCGGACTGTAGCCGTGAAGCGTATATGCACCGCGCACCGCGCCGCTTAATGAATGACGGCTTTCTTTATATAGTTTTTTCATGTTGTGTTTTTTGTACTTTTCTCAACTTTTTACAATAATGAATTATTATTTGATATTAAAAAAAATAGATATTTCTAATACATATTTTTTATACATTTTAACAAACATTTTGATAAATAGATATATTTGTATATATTTTTGTAGTAAAATAAACAAATATTTAATCAATCAAATATTACGTATTTTCTTTGATGTTAAAATGTTATATAAAGTAAAATCTATCCAATGTAACATGAATCGTCAGCAGGTCTCGCCGCATTTTCGTGAAAAACACGTCAAAGCTTGCACGAGAAGCTTTGACTATCGTCAACAGGGCAATCGTCTCGCGGTGCAGACATGCATTGGAGTGCTCGTGAATAGGTAGTATCACAAGTGTTTTTATCATGTCGCAAGACAATAGTGTAGATTTCGACAAGAGTTTGTGTATTTTGTGTTAATCGAATAAAAAAAATTTAACCAGTACATCCAATGGTTGTAAAAAAATACGAGAAGCTGCTACTCAGAGAAAAGATGCAGTGCTATTATGAGTGAATCAGCTGCGACCTGAGGAGCTTTTTCAGTATCACATGAACAATGTTTGCTATAGACCCTACACAGATAAAGTTAAAATAGAGAGAGCTGTAAAAATTATGAAAAGCGAAAATACATCACATAAACGTGCGCCAATAAACGTGACACAAGAGAGTTGTCGAATTACGAGATCGCAATTATCGTCTTCGTCGAGTTTTTCGTCGCAACATGAATCTAAAAGGTATGCTTGTATTATTTGTGGTTGCTTCGATCATCAAGAAGAAAAAAAAACATATCGTATTTGCGAATTGGATCAGGCAAAAAATTTTTCAAAATTACAAGGTTTTACAAAGATGATGTTTTTACTCGATGCTCAGATTTGCAAAACGCCAACGATATTTTTGCTGCTGATATTTATTACCACAAGAATTGCATTAGAATATACTTAAAAAAATACGATGTTGTTGAAAAAGCTCAGTCTCAATCGAAACAGCGCGAGTGTAATAATTCAGCAACATATGAGAAGTCACAAGCAATTGCTTCCGTAATTAATTCATTAATGATTTAATTACGATGATTTTTTCTTTATCAAGTGTTCGTGACCAAGTTAATCAAGTTGCTGAGTCGAATTTAAATATTCTTAACGTAGATATAAAAAATTACTTAATAAATCGTTCCGGCGAAACAATTGAATTTTCGGTTCCATCGGATAAAAAAAGCAAACATTGTTTTACGATTGCAATATATCTTTAGAAGACGTAGTATAACAAAGTTACAGTCGAAATATATACTTAAGGAAAGTGCAAGAATATGGAATGATGAATTAAATAAGCTTGATTTTGAACTTGAAGATACATTTTTTAATGCACGCAATTTACAGTCGTCGTGGGATAAATTTGAAATTTCGGAAAATTTGATAACTTTCTTTACAGTACTGTATAGTTTGCAAAAACGATTTGTAACAGGAAAAACTGACAGTGAATTTTCCGAACACAAAATTCTGAAATTAAAAGCGTTATGTCAAATTATGTTCTATAATTTAAAAAATGGAAAAGTCAAAACTTCATTGCACGTAATGATTGCACAAACTATTCATAGCACATGCAAAAGTAAGAGTTTAATTGAGAGCTTTAATCGCCTGGGGCTGTGTCTTTCATATGATAGTCTTTTAAAATCTACAACTAATTTAGCTCAATTTACAATAGAATCAAGTTTGAATAAAACTCCTCTACCAAGTCAGTTCGTCAAATCTGAGTTTACGAAAGGCGCATTCGATAATTTTGACCATTTAGAGGCTACGTTATCAGGGTTGAATAGTACCCACGACACCGTATGTGTGCTTTTTGAAAGCGCTCCGAACTTAGTTCCACGAAAACCGAACATCTCAGATACATTAATTAATAAAATAAAAAAATCATTGGATTCTTTGTTACCATGTCAAACGCTAAAAAATTTTTTCATTCCGAGCGGAAAAATAACACTCACATCTGAATATGCGGAAAATTCTACTCATTTATCTCCAGATAGATACGAAATAATAAACAAAGAAGATCTCGCCTGGCTTTTATATCGCATGAATACTTCAGACAACATAATCTCTCGCGTTAATGAACATCAAACTACTCAAAACTGGGCTCCGTTTAATTCGGTTCTTGTCAAAAATAAGAGGCGGTTGCAAAATGTAGGTTACATGCCGATTTTTCCTCACCCTGACACTAAAGTCGCAACAGTGTATACAGTAATGTGTAATTTCAAAGAGATTTTAAATCGATTAGATCAAAAGTACTTGCCATTATTTTGCGACGAAGGCGTTTATCGTATTGCGAAACCTATTCAATTACTTCGAGGAGAAAAGTTTAAAAATATTGTATTGATGATGGGGAGCTTTCATACAATGAAAGTTTTGCAAGGTTGCACAGCTCATTATTTTGAAGGAAGCAGAATAGAACATGTATTTATTGAAACTGAAATTTTCGGCGAGAACGTGGTTAAGAAGCAAATCATGAAAGGAGCGCATTATAACCGCTGTATGAAATTTTTTCTTTTACTCGGAGAAGCTTTACATCGCTTACAACTTGAAGTATTTTTTCAAGAGTATCCTTCTGAAGATTACGAAGATGAGTTATCGACCTTGAGTGCTCTACAAGCTGCGTTATCTGAAGAGAATTGGAATGAAGCTTAATTATTGTACAAAAATTTTTGCCAAGGGAGTAGTAAAATTCTTTCAGATTATCGTGACTTTGTTGAACGGAGATGTCAAGAATCGCCTATATTCAAATACGCTACTGTCGGATTGAAACTTATACAATTATTGAAAAACATGGACAGGGCTGATCAAGAAGGTAATTGGCAATTGCACATTGATTCGCAAATATTATCGCTACCGGTTTTTGCTGTGTTTGATCGAATAAATTACCTGCGTTATGCTTCATTGTATGTGCAAGATATTATTAATTTACCTGAAGAAAAGCGAGAATTATACGAAAAATTTATTGCTGGTAATTTCACCGTGAAACGATCGTCTGTATCGTTTACATCAGTCGGTGGAGACCAAGGCCTTGAACAAACGACTAACCGCTCTCAAAAAAGTGGTTCGGGTATTATAGGCTCGACGAAAAAGAAAGAATATGTCACTGGTTGGAATTTAACTCATCTCGAATTATTAGCAGTTAAACATTTACTTAGTGAAATTACTCACGTACAAGTGGAAAATGACGAATTAGTAAGACACCATGATTCTAGTCTGCATATGACGCATAAAACTGAAGAACAGCTTGGCAAAATAATGGCATATATTACATCTCATTGCAACCCTTTCAAAAGCGGCAATGAGCCGCTAAGAAATATTATCACACAAGAGTTGATAACATCAGAGTGTACTGATGCTCTTTTAAACATTTTTAAAAATGGTATTGATAAATACAACAAGTTTTTCTTCGAACGATTTGTTGAAAAATCCAAAAGCTTATCAGATCTAATTTCAAAAGTACAGTTACCATCATTTACAAGTTCTCAAGAAAGTAGTGCGGCTGAAGAAAAACGTGTGTCTACTACGAAGCAAAATCAGTTCGCTCAAAAATTAATCCAATTAGCAAAAAAGCGCAATTACAGCCTCGAAAGTTTATTTTCCTTTGAACTTACCGATACGAATCAATTGTTTAACGAAGATGGCTCCATGAAAAAGGAACCGAACAAATCTGATTTAGTTGTTGAATTAGAAAAATTTTTTTAAAATTTTACTGAGTAGAGTGGTTACTTGGCACATAATGCTACGTTGATAATTGATATAATGTTGAGATGTCGACAAATAAAATGAAGAAACATGAAAACATTCGATGACTTCGCTACTGCTTTTTGTAATTCTATCGCTGTGACAGAGTACCAAGTTAATCGAATTGATTTCATTTCCGATTCATATCTCGAAAATTCGATCAAGCTCGATGAAAGATCTAAGAGATGTAAAGAGGCACCTATAGATATACATGCTATTAATGAAAAAGTACCAATGCCAAAACAGGAGAATTCGTTTTGGTTATCAAAGAAGAATAAAATATTATTGCAACATTTTATTAGAAAAATTTTATTTTCTGGCTCCCCTACCCGAAAGTACGTACTTCCTGGCTCTGTATCAGTCCGGGAAGAGAGACTTTTGTGGCCTCGGCCAAGATCTGCGCATGCGCCGAGTAGCTGCTAGACCTAACCTTTCGTTACCCTGCTCGCTGGTGCTACTTGTGTGCAATTGTTTAC